CTCAGTGACCTTTTGCAAGATTCCTTTTATTTAAAAAGAAGTTAAAAACAGCATTCTCTGTTTAATCTAAATTATACTAAAAGATAAGTTGGCAAATACATTATGCATATAACACTATGAAATGTTATTGTTGTTGTTAAGTGCTGTTGAATCAGACCTGACTCATAGCGACTCCTCCTTGGGTTTCCAAGGCAGTATCACTACAGAAGTAGATTGCTCGACCTTCCTTCCAAGGTGTGGCTGGTGGATTTGAACCGCCAGCCTTCTGGTTAGCAGCCAAGTGCCTTAGACACTACATTACCAGAGCTCCCTACACTATGAAATACTACTTATTTATTTTATTTTAAAGTGGTGTAGAATTCTGTGTGTTGAAATGAAACCTTGTTAAAGTTAGATTGTTTTTAAGAAAAATAAAATTGTAATCATATATATTATTATATATATAAATATATAGGCATATATATTTATGTGTGGGTGTGATTGTGTGTATGCTGTAGGATCACATTTTCTCTCAAATTATAGACCACATAGAAAATTATTTGGAAGGATATATATCAAAATGTTAATACATTTATTCATGTAAAGGTAAATTGAATCAGGAATAAGGACTTTGATTTCTGCTTTCTCTCTTTCTTGTAGTCCGAGGTTTTAATACAATATTATATATACATTGAGTTACTCCTTTTGTAATTAAAGTACATATTTCCTAAAAGAAATACCAATGACAGTTAAGCTGTACTAATAGAGCATGTGAACACCTCAAGGGTTGTAAAGTTCTAAATGCAACCTGACCTCTCACACAGGTCATGGCAGATCAAAGGGGTCCCTTTATATAGACACACCATGTAACCTTTCTACCAAGAAACAAAGCAATAATTCAAGAATTGTATCAGATCTGTTGGCACAGCATCCCTTCGTGGGTCTTACAGATGCAAGAAATATTTGAATGATTAATAAGAGGTTGGGAAGAGGCAATGGGAAAAGAACTTACCTCAGCTAGTTGGAGATCTTTTGATGGTGACTAAGGAATGTGATGAATACAGAAGACATTAATGGAGTTGAGACAAAGGTGCTAATGCAACATTATAGGAGGTTGAGTGGACTAATGGAAAAGCATGCTGATTCCCAAAGTTAAAGAGGCCTAAACAAGTCCATTCTATTCACTCCAATCAGGAGGAATTTAATGATAAGTCCTCCTGGGTCCATATGAAGCAGATTTAGCTAGTTGATGAATATATGGACTGACAAGGGACCACGCTCTTCTAGTCCAACACCCAGCAAGGGATCTGAGGCCATATATCCATGTGTGGGTAAAAGGGCCTGGGGGTGGGGAAGAGAGTTCTTGGGCCTCCTGGACACAGGAGCCCAATGCATTTTCATCCCAAAATATGACAATGAAATCTTGAAGGGGCCTAAAGTTTGACTGGGGGGAATATGGGGTGCAACAATTCATGAGATAAAGATGAAAGTTTAGATGAGAATTGGAAAATTTAAACAGAAGTTGTATGAAGAATTTGCATCTCCCTTACCAAAATGTATTATGGGTATGAATATTATGTCTAATTGGGGAACATTCTCTCTACCTGATATTGTAAAATTGAAGGCGTGTAAGTCTGCCCTTATGCCATTACTGATTGGACATACTAAATGGGAACCATTAGAGTTGTCTGAACCCACTCACATTGTTAACTTGAAACAGTACAGGATACCTAATGGACAAAAGGAGATTACACCTTTGATTAAAGATATGCTAAAGCCGGGGGTATTGGTGGCAACAAATTATCTGTATAACAGCCCTGTATGCCCTGTAAAAAAGGCAGATGGTTCATGGAGGCTGATAGTAGGCTATAGAAGCCTAAAGAAACCAGTGGCTTCAGGTGTTCCAGACATGCTATCAATGGTGCAGAAAATTCAGCAGGCTAAAGGAGACTGGTACTCAGTGATTGACCTTGCAAATACATTTTTCCCCATCCCAGTCTCAGAATATAACCAGCTGCAGTTTGCTTTCATATGGGAAAGATCTTGATATACTTTTAATGTTTTGACACAAGGTTATTTGAATTCACCAGCTTCTTGTAATGGTTTGGCTAGAAGAGACTTGGACTTGGTGCAGATTTCAAGTATGATGATACATTACATTGATATTATACTAATATCAAACATGGAAAAACAGACTATGGTAGATTTGATATCAGTGGTAGCCCACATAACCAACAGAGGCTGGTTAATAAATCCAGCAAAACTTCAGGGCCCTGCTCAAAAGGTAAAATTCTTGGGAATAAATATGGCAGGAGCTCTCCATGACATTGCACAGGCAACCAAGAATAAGTTGCTGTCACTCCTTGCCCCCAAGACTAAGCAGGAAGCCCAATGTTTAGTTGTTCCACTTGTATTTTCAAGAACACATATGCCACATCTGGTGGTATTGCTGGGCCTCATCCATAAAATGACTTGAAAGAAAACCACATTTGAATGGAGGCAGGAGCAACAGCAAGCTATGTCCGAATTCCAAAAATCAGTCAAATTCTCCTTCCTATAAGCCCTAAGCCTTTATGATTCATATTCAAACATGATTTTGGAGGTGTTTGCTATATGTCCTTATGAAGATTAGCACCTATGGCAAAAACCTGAGAACACAGGCCTATAACAACCATAGAGATTCTGCCCTAGAAAGTTTTCAGATGCTGCAGCACAATACATGATATTTGAAATGTAATTACTTGTTTGCTATTGGGTATTGATTGAGACTATATCAATGACAGAAGAACATAAAATCATGAGACCTGAGATACCCATAATATCTTAGGTGATATCAGAGAAACATTTTAACAAGAAAAGCAGCATCCAAAATAGTTCCATACAAAATGCATATGGCCCATACAAGAACAAGATACTGAAGAATGAAGGAAGGCACCAACCATATCCACAAGCAGGTAGCTTCTTTTCCTATAGGTCCTACCCCAGAAATGCCAGAGAAGCTGCCAGAACCCACTGCCACATGGACGGTGCCCTGTGAACAATTTTCTGCTGACCAGCAGTAAGCTGCTTGGTTCACAGATGGTAGTTCCAGGATTCAGGAACAACATTTGAAGTGGAAAGCTGCTGCACTAAGATCAGCAGATGTAAAGACCCTGATTGATGAAAGTAAGAAGTCAGTTCAATTGGATGAACTGCATGCTGTCTTCCTAGCTGTCATGGAAGAATTAGGCAATGGTGAAAGATCATATATTTGGATTTTTAGTGATCCATGGACAATGACCCAGCTATACTGTCAGGCACATGGGCGATGGAAAGTTGTACTATTAACAAGACACCTGCATGGGCATGGGCCTTGGAAAGCACTCTGGGAATTTAGAGGGCACATTAGAATAGGCCATGTTGATGACCATCACAAGAATCACCTTCCTGGATTGGAAGATGATTGGAATCAGCAAGTGGACATATTGGTACACTTCCTTGAGGTTGCCAATTGGGTCCATTAAGTGAGTGGACAAGATGGGCAGAATCTAGACACATATTTTTTGCAACCTCTGAGACACAAAATGCCAGTATGGACTACTCTTCTGCTAGAAAGAAAGACAGAAGGTACAGATGGCTATGGGACAGATTCCCTGGGGGGAAGGCCCTGCAAATAGCTGGCAAGTCAATTATATAGGGCCAATGATGCCAGTGGCTCCAGTTGGCTACAAATGGCTACTCTTCACAGGAATAGATACTTACTTTGGACTGTGTTTTGTACATCACATGACATATCAAATGCCAAAAACACCATTAAGGGATTGGAACAAAAGATACTGTACCAATTTGGGCCACCAAGGTATATTTCCTCAGAGAAAGGAACACACTTTACAGTCTATAGGGTTTAGCAATGGACCAAGAAACATCATGTTGAGTAGATAGACCATGTTGCATACCATCCTCAGAGAAATGATATGATAGAGAATTGGAATGGGCAATTGAAAAAATTGTTATGTAAAATGGGGGAGATAAAGGCAAGAAGGGTTGGCTCACATGCCTTCAGGAGAGTGTGCCCACACTCAACATGAGGGTGTTGAAGGGAGGATACCCACTGGACAGATTCCTATTTTTCTGGGGCATCTGGTAAGAGGGAATGGTGGAGGACGCTGGTGCCACTGTACAATTCTTCACCACATCACCTGAAATTATTTTTTTCCTGCCAGAAACTGCATCCCAGTACCTAACAAGCAGTTGTGGGTGCCAAAGGCAAGGGTGATCCCTAAGCAAGAGACTGTAATTATAACTCTGAACCTGTATGCCAGAATTCCCAAGGGCCTTACAGGATAGATTGCACCTTCCCTTGCCTGGCAAAATTGGGTTTGATAGTGAATAATGCCATTTTGCCTAGTGGACAAGAATCTCCACTAATGTTGTACTTATGTAACCCTATGCAACAGGAATGGGAGTACACTGAGGGGGAAGTACTTACTAGACTGTTATTCTGAAAAAAGAAAAAAA